AGACAGAGAAGATGTAAATTCATTTTTCCGAACAACATGTAAAACTCTTTAACATCATCAAACAATTCTCAACAAAAATATAATTTTGCGAATACATCAAACAATTTTAAAAGTAAAAACAAAAAGCTCATTGATTCTGTTGAAGCTCGTCGTTTCCCACAGACGGCGCCAATTGTGAGCTCTAATAAATCCTCTTATATGGATTGTTGAAGAGATCCAACGAAGAGATGAGTTTCACCCCTGTAGATCTGCAATGATGAACACAGTCGGCGCCACCCAACCAGGGACACTCCGATGATGAAGTTAGTCACTGAATTAAAGAAAGAAAAAGTAGAAATGAAGGGGTGTGTGTGTTCTGCAAAGAGATCAGACATACCTTACTCTTGGGATGCCCCCCTTCCCTTTATATAGATGGGGAAGGGTGTGATATTTGTTTGGGCTGCTGGACTCATTGTAGGCCTTGTTTGGGTTAGGCCCAATAAACTAGTATCTATTTTTTTCTAGCTCTTACAATACCTTTAGTCTTAATATATTAGGTAAGAATCAATTCGAGAAGAGTTCTCCCTAATCTTTCTTTTATCCTATACACTATCATCACTTTATAGATTTTTTTAAGGTAAAATTTATTTTACCACCTGTTTGTAGTTTGGCGTTGGAACACTTAATCCCTATAATTCAATTCATTTATACTTAGAAAGTCCCTATGTCATTTTGGACTAAAGTGTCACTGTTAATTTTTTTATCCAAACTAATGGAAAGTATCTTTCTCTCTCTCTCTCTCTAGATCTACCTTGTTTTATTTTTTAGAGTAAGATTTACCTTGTTTGGTTATCCCTACTTCTCAAAAAATTGACTTTTTTTTTTCTTTCTTTTTTTTTTAAATTTTTCGTTTTTTTTTTTGTTTTTAGTATTTTTTTTAATATCTTAAGAAAAAATTTATTTTTTAGATGCAGCTAACCAGATACAGTTAAAAACTAAAAAGTATAATATTTATGGGAAAATCTTTTAAAAAAAAATCATCAAATAAAAAAATACAAAAAACTACAAAAATTTAATACATTTTCATATTCTTGTGTATTTATTGAATTTTTAAAATAATTTTTCACAAATATTGTATTTTTTCAATTTATCTAGGAAGTTGAAAAAAAAAATACTCAAAATATTTTAAAAATTCACTAAAAACAAAAAACCAAACCAAACCAAGCCTTAAGTCCCATCAAATGGGGTCGGCTACATAAATCCTTCTTCTCCACGTGACTTTATCAAAGGCCATTTCGCTAGTCAAATTAAGTAGATCCATATCTCTATTTGCAACACTAGCCAACGTTAATCTAGGCCTACCCCGTCTCCTAACACTTTCATCTACCGTTATAGTATTGCATCTCTTCACTACTGCCTCTGTTGGTTTCCGTTGAATATGACTAACGATTCTCTCTCAACTTATTTTTTATCGGTGCTACTCTTACCCATTCCCGAATAAACTCATTTCTAATTTTGTCTTGTCTAGTCTTGTTACACATCCACCTTAGCATTCTCATCTCAGCCACACTCATCTTAACTACATGTTGTTTCTTTGTTGCCCAACATTACATCCCATACAACATCGCTAGTCTAATAGCCGTTCTATAGAACTTACTTTTTAGTCTAGTGGGTATTCGTTTATCGCATTGTACCCCATCCTGCCTTAATCCTATGGGCCACATCCGCATCAATCTCTCCCGCTGTTGTGATAATCGGCTCTAAATAACGAAAATATTCACTCTTAGGCAGTTCTTGGTTCTCAATATTCACTTATCCTCTGCTTTCATTGTTGCTGTTACTAAATTTACACTCCATGTACTCTGTCTTAGTTCTGCTTATCCGGAATCCTTTAGATTCAAGAGCTTTTCTTCAAATCTCTAACTTTATGTTAACTCCTTCTCTAATCTCATCCACTAGTATGATATCGTCTGCAAAAAGCATACACCATGGCACGTCATCTTGAATATTTCTCGTCAATTCATCCATAACTAAAGCAAAAAGATAAAGACTTAAGGTAGATCCTTGGTGTAACTCTACAGTGATAGGAAATTCATTTGTCTCTCTAGCAAGCGATCTAATAGTGGTCACCACCCCTTTTTACATGTCGCTAATCACATCAATGTAACCTTTTGTCACCTCTTTCTTCTCTAACACCCACTATATTATATCCCGGGGCACTCTATCATATGCTTTCTCAAGATCGATAAACACCATATGAATGTCTCTTTTCTTTTCTCTATACTTTTCTATTACTCTCCTCAAAAGATAGATCACTTCCATTGTTGACCTGTCAGGCATAAACCAAAATTGATTCTCTGACACCTCTGTTATATCTTGCAATCGGTGTTCCATCACCCTCTCGTACACTTTCATTATATGACACATTAGCTTGATTCCTCTATAGTTGTTGCAATTCTGGACATCTCCTTTATTCTTATAGATTGACACTAAAATACTGTTCCTTCACTCATCTGGCATGTTCCTAGTCAACAAAATTTTGTTAAATAACCTAGTCAACCAAGCAACCCATTTTTTACTCAAACACTTTCAAGCTTCAATAGGGATATCATCGGGTCCTAAAGCTTTATTTGATTTCATCTTCTTAAGTACAATCTCCACTTCAAAGTTTCTAATCATGCGATAGAACCTATAGTCTTGGTTTATTGTATTACTGGCTATTTCTTCCCCTATTGTCATACCTCTATGTTCCTCATTTAATAATGTCTCAAAATAGTTCTTCCTTCATCCTTCACCAATACCGCAAAATCCTCACTCTTTTTATGCGCTTAACTTGATTAAAATCTTTTGTTTTCCTCTCCCGTATCTTAGCAAGTTTGTATACCATCTTCTCTCCTTCCTTACTATCTAGTCTAGTGTATAAGTCATCATAAGCTTTCAATTTAGTATTTCTCATTATTTTCTTGACCTCCTTATTAGCCAATCTATAGCTCTTAAGAATTTTCTCAGTTCTATCATTCTGTACTTTTTAAAACACTCTTTTTTTGCCTTAATTACAGCTTAAACCTCTTTCCTCCACCGCCAAATTTCCCTAGAATTGGGTCCCGTTCCTTTCGATTCTCTAAGCACCTCTCTTGAGATTCTCCTTATACAATTGGCCATCAAGTTCCACATAATGTTAGCATCATATTCCAAATCCCAAGTACCTTTCTTATCCATTCTATTCTTAAATGTTTCTAATATAATTAAATAAAAATATAAAATAAATAATAGTTAAGAATTGATTTAAAATATAATTAAATTAAAATTAGATTAATATGTTAGAAATTACAATAAATAATTAATAATTTAGGATTAATTGTGATCTAAAATATAATTAAATTAAAAAAAAGAAAAGTTAAGAATTATAATAAATAATTAAGAATCTATTATGAATTGTGATTTAATTGAATTAATATTAAACATTATAAATTATGTGTACTAGAGAGATATAGGAAAAAACAAAAAAAGTATAGAATTTAAAGGTATTACAATCATTTCACATTTATAATTAACGGTTGCACTTAGTTTACAATTACATAGGAGCTTTTTAACTATATTTGAGCCATAGAAGGGTAAAGTGCTATGACTTCAAACTACAAGAGAGAAATGAATTTTGCCTTTTTTTTTTTTTTTGTAAAACTTATTTAGAATGCTTATCATATTTTTAGTTTTGTAAAAGTTATTTAGGCTGCTTATTTTTATAGAAAACTTACGTATAAGTCTTAATAAGTGGATTTATTATCCAATAAGTCTTATGATAATTAATGACATTTTTCATCAAACACTAATAAAAAAATCACTAATTATTTAGCGATGGTTTAAAAATTTTATCACAACAAAATCACTAATTATAAATTTTAGTGACAATTTAAAAAAATCATCACAAAAGAATCATTAATTTTCAATTTTTAGTGACAGTTTAAAAAATTTGTCACGAAAAAAATCACTAATTGTAAATTTTAGTGACAGTTTATAAAAATCATAATAAAAAAAATCTCTAATTGTCAATTTTTAACGACATGCAAAAAATTACAAAATTATTTTTAATGACAATTTTACTAATACTTATTTTCAATAATACTTGATGAGAATTAAATCAAACTATTAGAACCTATTAATAATTTACTCTATTTTTATTTTGAAAATTTATGTCAGATTATTTAATACAACTTATTACAACTTATTAAGTAAAAATAACTTGAATAACTTCAAAAAAAAACTATCATCTTAAAAAATTGAGAAACTGATGCTTTTAACTTCTACTTTTCAATTATTAATTTTCAACTTGTAAAAAATTGCACCCAACCAGTCTTTTGCCTAGCCAACATGTACTAATAAATCAGCAGAAATTGCCACTTTGGTTGAACAGGACAAAAGGTTTTGGCTCACCCTGCCCCTACCAGAAAAGCAGTATCAAAACCCAGAAATTCATGACAGAACCCTAAAAACCTTCAAGCTCTCCAAAATATAGAGTGAACTTCATGTTCATCGATGCACTTGCACTTTCTACAACTCTTACAAGTAGTACAGAAGCATGTGATACAAATGTAGAGCCATGTCAAAGCTCTACCCATTCCACATTTCAGCCCCAATTAAACAAACACACTCACTGTTTGACGTCAGCGAGCTTTTACCCTAGGCCTACTAGCTGAAAAGCACCTGCCCAGGCAATAGGAGACTCTCAGTTCACTCTTAAGAACTAACAATATGATCATTAAGATATGACCATCCTACAAACATCAACTAGTAGACAAGGCATTGTCGCCATTCAACCTTCATAATCCTGAAAAACAAAATTAGGGAAAACAGGTTCCATAGTTTAACAGTGCCAGAGGAACTACCGCGGCATTTTTAGTCCATTTTAGTAAGGAATGCAATTTGATGAAGTGATCCATGTCATTCAACAGAACAAGAAGCAAATACCCACAAAACTGAGTCAAGCCAAGGAAGAGATTAACAAAGAAGCAAGAATAAAAAAATAATGACCAAAAAACAGATCGTGCTAAATTTATTTCAGAAAAAATAAAATTCAGAGTATGCTATTGTTACTGACCAAAAAACGAGGAGCTGCAGTCAGATCCTTTGAAATTGCTCAGAAGCAAAACAATTCTGTAGTTTTTCAAACCAATCTGCAAAAATGGATGTCTATGCTGATACCTTCAAATGTTATTCGCACGTACTTGCACTTCACAATAAATTACATAAACCATAGAGCCATCTAAATTGAGATTCTCATAGAAGAAACCAAGTTCTCAAATGGCCCCAAAAAATTCAAATATACCCAAACTGACAGGCTTCCTATGCTAACTCAATGTTGATGAACAGCAAACAAGGGCAAGAATGACTCTGAATCCTATAATGGTGAAGAGAAGCTAAACTGCACGCCAGTCTTCCCACGGTCATGCTCAAGTTGTTTCAGTATGTAACAGTAGTTTACCTGAGAACAAAATCAAGCCATCGGTGAGGTTACTTGGGATTAATTGGGGCACAAAAATTTCCAAACAAAAACAGGAAAGTTCAAAAGTTCTCCAGGACGTTCCTAGCAACATTTGACCTGTAGTTCGTCAAACAAATGCTGCAGTAGATTGCATAAGACAATCTATCACAGTAAATTGGATTATAGATGGAAAACTAGAGTTTTAAAAACTCATTGCTCCTTTTAATTGGAGATATAGAATGTGTGTAGTATAGCTCTTGGCCACGCTACATTCTGACAAGGGTACATTACTGTCAAAATAATTACAAGAATTATAACCAGTTATTATGAAAGTAGAAAGAAATTGTTAAAATTGCGACATAGCTTTATAACCATCTAACTTTCTTTCCAAAGAAAAAAGAAAAATAAAAAAGCAACACCTATAGGTTGTGTTTGGATCTTGGACTTAAGGAGGGTTTTATGAAAAGAAGATGAAAGGAAAGGGAAAAGTAAATAAATTAGAAGGGTAAATTACAACATTAATCCATGTAGTTTAAGCAAAATGTCACTTTAGTCTCCATAATTTCAATTTGAACAATTTAAAACTCTAAACTTTCAATTTTGTTGCAATGTGATCCTTCCGTCACTTACCATTAGAATCTGGAACGAGAAAAGGCCATGTACAAAACTAGAGGGACCAAAGTGGAATTCAAAACAAATTACACCAGTGGTCCCTATAGTTTGTTTTGAATTCCTCTTTGGTCCCTCTAGTTTTGATTTTGATTTTGATTTTTTCCCCTGCTGTCACCGTTGTTGTTTACCTTGGTCATGGAGGCCTTTAGTAGTTTGTTAACTAGGGCGGTGCATGAAGATTTGTTGGAAGGATTTACTGTGGATTCTTCAACCGGGGCTGTTATTGGTGTGTCTTATTTATTGTATACAGATGATGCTTGGTTTTTTGTGATGCGGCAATGGAGGTATTTGCGGTGTGTCTTGCTTCACTTTGAGGCGGTGTCAGATTTATGGGTTAATTTGAGCAAGTTAGAGTTGATTCTGGTGTGGAAGTTGGTAGGTTGCCGGTGTTAGCAGTGGTTTTGGGATGTAAGGTGCTGGCCTTGCCTATGTCTTGTGTTTGCCGTTGGGTGATAGCTTCAAGGCAAAAAAGGGTGTGGGAAGGGGTAGTGGAGCGGTTACAACGTCATTTGGCGGGGTGGGAAGGTTGACTTTGATCAAGAGTGTATTGAGCAGTATTTCGACTTACTTTATGTCATTACATATTATTCTTGTTTCTGTGGCGTGACGTTTGGAGAAACTTCAAAGGGGTTTCTTGTGAAGGGGAGGAGTTCCAATATCACTTGCTTGATTAGGGGTGGATTTGTCACCCTAAGGAGGTGGGTGGTTTGGGGGTGCGAAGTTTGGTGACTTTTAATAGGGCGTTGTTAGGGAAGTGGTTTTGGAGGTTTCCTTGGGAGCAAGATTGTTTATGGCGTAAGGGGTTGCTACCAAGTTTGGGGTGGATAGGATGTGATTAGGTCTCATGGTTGGGGCTTATGGAAGGGGATTTGGTTAAGGAGGGAGAAGTTTTGAGATAGGGTGAATTTTTAGGTTGGGGCGGGGGAGAAGGTATGGTTTTGGTGGGATAGGTAGTGTGGAGAGGTTGTGTTGGAGGTGCACTTCCCTTTAATCTTTAGTATTGTTATGGACCGGGAGGCTACTATTGCATCTTGTCTGGTGGATGAGGATGTGGTGATTTGGGATATTCAGCTGCGGCGCCAAGTTCAAGATTGAAAGGTTAGCTAGTTGGGGGAGCTGTTCAGTTTCTTGTATGGGTTGGGGATTACGGTTAGGGGGGAAGATGTACTAGGTTGGAATGTTTCGGGTGCCAAAGACAGTTTTCTATCTCGTTGTTTTATCGGAGTTTGGTGGGGGAGGTGACGGGGTCCTTCCTTGAAGGAGTATCTGGGTGCCGGGAGTTCCTTTTAAGGTGGTTTTCTTCTAATGGACGGCTATTTTAGGACGAAATCTTACTATTGATAACTTAGTCCGTCGAGGGCATGTGCTTGTGAATCGATGTGTGTTGTACTCATGCAGAATATGTGGATCATTTGTTTTTTCATTGTTCAGTAACTTTGCAGTTTTGGGGGCTTATTTGTTCTACTTTTGGGATTGATTGGGTGCAGCCGAGTGAGGTTTTGGAGATGTTATGGAGTTGGAAAGGGGGCTAGGGTTGGGCGTCAACGACAATGGGTTTGGTCGTTGGTGCCATTTTGTTTGATGTGATTAGTTTGGTTGGAGCGGAATCAGCGTACATTTTAAGAAATTCATCATTGTGTGTCATAGCTCGAGAATCGGTTATTAGTTACTATGTGTGGTTGGCTGGAGAGAAAGGTGGATCCGGATTTATTTGTTTTTTTAGATTTTTTGGATGATGTTATTGATTAGGAGTATCTTCCCATTTTTGGTTTTTGTATTCTTTTGCATTGTCTTGATGCCTTTTCAATAAAGCCTAATTATTTATCAAAAAATTGTTCAAATTGAAACTAGGAGAACCAAAGTGAAACTTTGCTCAAACTAGAGGTACCAATGGTGGAACCTAATTTTTTTATATATTTTATTTGTTCACTTTTCCCTTCTTTTTTTACTTTCCCTCCACAAATCCAATATCAAACACACGTTTAAGCTTCTTCCAAGGACACACAAGGTCCTTGGGCTGTAGAGTCAATATGAAATATATTGGGAAAAAATTAGAAATATTCAAAACATTGTGACATCAGAATTTCTTTTCCAATCCTATAATCCAGCCCCAAGGCTCTGTTTAACTGTCACGAATATCATTTAGGAACGTAGTTTATGAGAAAAAGTACGAAAATAAAGAAATAAAATATAAAAGAATCATGTTTCCATCAACCCTTTGGTTTACAAGAAAGTTTGTAGGAAACTTATTATTATTTTTAGTTTACAAGAAAGTCCATAGGAAAATTAGTTTTAAAGTATGTACACTTCTAAGAAGGTGACGTATTCGTGTTAGACACCAACACTCTTTGGAGACTTCCTGACACGTGTCCAACACTCGTCAAAATGTGTCATACTTTTTAATTTTTTTTAAAGACCTGGACACTTGGAGGACACACGTCTTTATCGCTTAAACATCCATGTCTATTGATTAGAAACGGATGAAACTAATTATAAGTTTGAAAAAAAAACTTAAGATACAATAATAAAAGAAAAACCATATAAATTTATAGGAATTAATGTCATATCGCGTTTTTTTATTATCTTTGAATGATATATTCATATATATATATGACATATGATAAATATATAAAATTATATATTTCACGCGTGTCCTCCACGTGTCATGTCCTGCATCTTAAAAAGATTAGTGTATTAGCGTATCCGTGTCCGTATTGTGTGACGTGTCCGTGTTTCTTAGGTTTTAACTTTCCTATAAAGCATGATTCTTTTTTTCTTTTCTTTTTTTTTTCTTCTTTTTCTTTTTAAGAGCATATTTTCATAAAAATAAATAAATTAATAAATAAATAAATGTAGTGGGACCAACACTTTCTTACAACAATTAAATGAACATATTAAGCGAATGAAAACAGTTTTTGTTTTATTTTTTATTTCCTGTCCCATCATAGGGGTCCCATGCTGCTCAGTTTGATATACAGATTCCAGGGCAGAAACTAACCTCCATGCGAAATAGTTTAGTGGGTACAATGATCCCACACCCTGCGGAGCTTCGGAAAGACTCACGGAATTTCTGGAAAGCAAAATCTCGGTATGCATTCTCTGTTAATTTGCTAAGGTTCCCAACACAAGCAAAAAAATGTCCATGGATACCAGCTTCTCGGAACACCCTCAATGGAAGATCGAAAGAAAGGTCTGCAAAAGCAGTAAGAGCAAGATCTCCTCCAAGAAAATCCCTTCCCAAATCAGTGTCAGAACTTTCATCATTGGACTTTCCTCTAATTTGCCGCCTTGGTTCAGTAGGGCCCAGTCCCCTAGTCTTAAAACCCAACAGGGTCGTCGGGCCTCCCAAAGTGCAAACTGGAGAAGAATTGCCACCCAAAAAGAATCTCTCAGGTATGGGTGAAGGCAGGTTCAAGAACCCATTACCCCATGGAAAAATAACACCACAGGAGACCCCAAAGTTCAATGCAGCATGATAAAAACCCAAGGGAAAAGCGTAACGAATATCAAACTCCTGTTCCAAAAACCCAGAACATATTAAAATAAACGAAGTTTGTTTAGCAGCAGCTACATAGACATAGATGGGCATGAATATAACATGGCTACATCAGGTGGCCAATGTCATCAAAGTTTTCAAAGGTTTTATTGAGGCTCGCCTCGAGGCCAAGGTAAACGCATCAAGGCTTAGATTTTTAGGCTACTCTCCCTAAAGGCTTGCGCATCACAATATGAGGCATGCACCTTAGGTGTGCCTTGTATGCCTTTTGAGCATAAGCCTATGACGAGTATGCATATGAAGAGGTTGCCTTGGACTCTTGTTAAACGTCTAGTAGATAGTTTAAACATCCAAAAAGCCAAAAATAAAAAAGAACCCATTTTGTGACTATATTCTATAGAAAAATTAAGTAAATGAACAATGAACAAAAAATTCAAAGCTAATGCTCAAGTGAAAAGCTCAATCATTGAAGTTAAGATTGTCAATTTCAATTTCAATGAAGGCAAGTTTCATTCTCTGCAGTGAAATGTTCGATGCCATAAGGAGAGAAGTATTTATACCTTTATATTTAATTTATATTTGGTTTTTCACTATTTTAAAATATTTAATTTATTTACTAAATATTAAAATTTAAAATTTGAAATGGTTACGCCTCAACGCCTTAAGGCTTATGCCTTGCCTCATGAGGGGTAAAATGCCGAGAGTTCTGCATTCGCCTTTAAAACTTTGAATGTCATCACTTTTTTTTTTTTTTTTAACGGGATTATTTGGAATGATCTAAATAAGTATACTTTTTGACTTTTTAAGAAGAAATGCAGAAAAGTAAAAAGGTGATGTGACCCAAATAAGTGCACTTATTTAATTTATGTCAAATAGTGAGTATCAGATGGCCAACATCATCATATTGAGTAAATGCGTCAATAAATGGCGAAGGATCTTGATTACAATTCTTGTTGGTCAACCAACAAAATTAAATTACAAATATATATTTGATAAATACAAAGCTACATCTAAAATTATTAACAAGCTTAAGAACCATAGCAACAAAACAACAAAGTTAGCCAACTATAATAATTAAAAGGGTAAATTACACTTGCACATCCTGAGGTTTGGATTTAATATATATTATCCCCTGACGTTTGGGAAATTACAGTAACCCCCAATGTCATTGTAATTATTTAGACAGAATGAAGACATTAAACTCATGCACTCTCTCTTCTCTTGTTTTACTTTACTTCCTCTGTTTGTTTGATTGTTTTTTTTTTGTTTTTCTTTGCTTTTACTTTTTTTTTTTTCCTAACGTAATTTCCTCTGTTTTTCTACTACGAGTTGTTACTTTTTATATAACCAAGGGGTTTGTGAAATAAAACTATCAACCATAAGGGTGAGAATGTAATTTCCAGAACGTCAAGGGGTGGGATGTAATTGGACCAAACCTCAGGGGTGTCAGTGTAATTTACCCTAATTAAAAAACAAAGAATAATGTCCATAAAACTTGGGGAATTGTAACCAACAAGATTAAATGACTTGATATATTTTTAACATATAAAGCAGAGACCAGTCAAAAGCCCCCTAGAGTAGGTTGTTGCTACAAGCCACAATGCTATCAGCAAAACACAAATCTAGGACTTCCCAACAAAGATGTCAAAGTCAAACTCTCGAGTTAAAGAAGAAAAGAATCAACGCTAACCATTGCTGACAACTTTGTGCAGAAAGACAACGTATTGAGTGAGTTATTTTGTATGATTTCACTACCGTCTTCAGTAATCAGGCAAATCTTATGTTAATAGGCTATTAGGCTGTGAAAAGCTCATCCTCTTTTTTAGTAATAATAATAATAAGGACTAATCGTTATGTAGTAACATTTAAGATCTCAGCATAACCCCACCCCCACCAAAAAAATAAATAAATAAAAGAAAGAAAGAAAGAAAGAAAGAAAGAAAAACAGAGAAGGGCTGTGAATCAAAATTAAATTCGTACTCTACAAATTTTGGTTATTTCAGCCTTTTTCAATGATACATAAAAGAACAGAAAACCACAATGCCAAACTACAAGATTCTTCACCCCCCCTCTTAAGAATCGCTAATATCCATTAAAAACATAAATCCAAGTCCAAAAAGATGTATAATTAAAACCTGTACTCCAATTACCTGTGGCTCACTGCCCACGTTCCCACCATTCGACTATATCTACGACCATATCTTTATCAGAATCATACATTCTCACCTCTTCTCTCACTGTCTGGACTTGTGCTTTCTTGACCTTCCTGTCGTCCATGAAGTACTTTCAAACACCTCAAACAGATCCTCCCAGTCAGTGTATTAGCCTATAATCTACACAAGTAAACCATCTTAGACAAGGTTCCCTCATCTTATCCATATACTTGGTGCTCCCTTTCAATCTCACAAGGATTTTTAGTAATCCTTCTGTCTTTTCTTTTTGTTTCTTGCAAATGTAATCCCTAGTAGTAAACAAAATGAATCACCAGTCCTCAAAGCACACTGCACGCAGGAATGAGTAAGAACTTTTTTATGTATAAATATGCTCCTTTTTCTTTGTGAAGACTTAGGTAGATTCCAATTAAACCTACATTACCCGTACTCTTTGGATTTTCGAAGGTACCCGTGTCGACACGACAAAAGTACTAGTGCAAGATACGGCCGGGATACGGCTCGTTACAAACGGATACGGCAGAAAAAATGAAAGAGGAGAGAGCAAGAGAGAACTTGGTCGCCATTCGAAAGGGTGAAGACATTGATCTGGTCGCCAACTTCGATCCCTTTGGTCACTGGCTTCGACGACTTCGACTCTCTCTCTCTCTCTCTCTCTCTCTCTCTGTGGTCGCCATTCGAAAGGGAGAAGACATCAATCTGGTTGCCGACCTCGATCTCTCTGGTCGCTGGCTTCGATTCTTTCTTTCTCTCTCTATAAATCATGTATAATATAAATTACTATTTTATTTATATATATATAAAATATATCATCTATTTTTAAAAATATATATAATAAAATCATATATAATATAAATTATTTTATGCCTAAAATAATTTTTATATTTTATATTTTAGTGGGATGCCTAAAAAATACATAATATTTTTTTGACACATCCATGTTTAACCATATCCACGTACCTGTGTCTAGTTTTTGGGTACTTTTTAGACGTACATGCATATCCCTCATTTAGAGGTTTGTTGAGTCCGACCTCTAGATATATACCCGCACCCGACACTCATACCCGAGTCCATGTAACGTATAATTAAACTGGTATCTATAATTAAGCATTTCTGATACATTGGCACATTGAAAATGCAGCATCTTCATAATTGATGCATAGCTGATAATTTGAACAGGATTAAAGCATATGCTTTTTTCCATTGACACAAGCAAATAGGCTATACAAACAAGGTTTAAGGATACAAGCTATACAGTGTAGATAGATGGGAATTCACACTATAATAGAATTTTGCTGGCCAACCCCATAGAAATATATAGCTTAAAAAAGTGCTCAAGTAAGATTTCAAAGCATCAGGTACAACCATACAAGGCAAGGAAGACTTCCAATAGAGTGACTTGGCTGCCAACTTCACAATGAAAGGTGTCCTAATGAATAAAATTCTCTTAAATGTTCATCATCAATATTGATTTTTTGCAACATAAAAGTGAAATATGTAATGAACTCAAGATTTGACCTACTGTTATCAGAAAATGCTAAGACCCTAGTGACTTACATTTTGGAATACACATTCTGAAACATGGTATACTTTCGTTCCAAAATAGTGAATTTACCAATTCAAAGCGATCCCATAATTTTTCTTTCTTTTTTTTCATTGAAAGTTTTCCTTAAAAGGGAAAAACTCAAATATAATGAACTAAAATCTAAATGGAGTGGATTTTAGATTGACAAAATGTAAAATGGGTCATAATGCTCATAGAACTATGTTGTTGAACGATTAATTTGAATAAAAGTACATTAAAATATATTGGATGTCAAATTAAGAAGTCTACCCCTATCTATAGCTGCAAATGAACAGAGTCGTTCGTAAACAGGCTCGAGCTCAGCTCAGTAAGGGCTCGTTCGAACTCGGTTCAAGCTCGTTAAAATATTAATAAACAAGTCCAAATATATTAAAGCTCAGCTCGTTGGCTAGGCTCGTTTAACATTTATTTAAATAATAAAATAAATATATTATTTATATATTAAATAATATAAAAATATGTATAAAAATAAGATAAATATGTTATTTATATATTTAACTAATGTAAATGTAAATAATAGCTAAATTTATATATAATACATTTTATATAATAGTTGTGGTAGATATTATTATTTTAATAAGATGTTGACTTTTTTTTTAGTATGTTTATATATATTGTATATATAATTGTATAATCAAGGTTTCAATTGTAACTTTAGCCTCATAGGCAAATATAAATATATAATTTCTTTAGCTAGTGAGCAGGCTTGAGCTCGAGTGAAGCCTAAACCAACTCGACTCGAGCTCAAGTGACGCCTGAGCCAACTCGGCTCGAGATTGGTTCATTAAATTTTTATTGAGCTCAAACTTGTTAAAATCTTAATAAACAAGTCCAAAATACTAAAACTTGGCTCAGCTCGTTTGCAGCCCTACCCCTATCGTACCACATTTTAGAACATGTAATGTACCACGTTTCCGTTTCCGTTCCCGATCCCATTCTTGTTCCTCGTACTAGAACAATCCATGTTCTAGGTAACATAATTTCACCACTGGCCACATACGACAAGTTGTATATGGTTTGTCCCTCAACCTTCACGTAAGTGACTCAAACCTCCTTGTCGTCTTGTTGGTCAAAAGAAAAAACACTCAAAACTTTCACTCCGTTTATTTTGGTAGAAAACATTTCCAAAGGATATCACTTTCTATGGAAATTTTTTCCATAAAATGTTAAGTTACATCCTTAAAACTAATATACTAATGGTTGGATTAGTGGTGGTGGTGGTAGGGGCAGTGGTAGTGTAGTGGCGGTGGTGGAGTGGAGGTAGCAGTGACAGTTATGTGGTGGTGGAGGTGCAGCGGTGATGGTGTGTTGGATGTATGGTGGTGGAGGTAGTAGTGTGGTGGCATAACCATATTGGTAAGAGTTTAATTTGTAAAATATTTTCCATTTTTTAAAAGAGGAAAACATTTACCACCAAATAGGCTTGTTTTTCATCGACCACAAAAACATTTTTCGTTGACTTCATTTTCCGTTGTACCAAACGCCAGAAACAAACTGAGCATTCAAGAAAATTCTTGGTTCCATATTTCACTAGAAACAAACTTTCTCTAATTCTAATGGAGTTCAAGATATTGCTAATTCTAACTCAAAATGAACGCCAACAAATTCAAGTGACTAGGGCTTAAAATTTGAAGAGCTTGTGAGCTTGTGACTAGAGAACTACAGATCTGAGGACGCCTCCACCTTGCATATCCTGAAGAATCAGCCTACCAAGATCCACATACAGATTCTCTATGATTTCAAGTAGGGTGCTCTAACAACAATGCCAAAGCAAAGGAATACACACCCAAAACAACTCAAATAAAGAAATGTGAAAGGTGTTTGTTCAATTCATCTTAGCTAGTCCCAAAAGTACAAATCAGTTCTACTGACAAATTCAAGGAATGAAATAGGGTATGCTATCCTCCAAAATTCTTAAAAGAAAAATCAAATATATTAATTTTGGGGTGTGCTTTATGAATGAATCTCTGACATGAATCTTAGTAAGGTCGCCATGCCATATTGGATACAAAGTTGGTTCTGTAGAACTTCAAATGAATTAAAAATATTTTGTTGGGGTATATTTTCAAACAAAGAAATCAAAGCAAAAGATGCCTGGTGCTTTTTTAATATTTTTAACGGCCGAGCATCACAGATTGAAACAGCAAACCATTCAAGACATGTACTTAAGCCCTTCGTCATATGTGTTTCAACTAAGTTTTTCTGTATCAATTTATATGGTAAATGCTACTTCTACTCCACGTCTAATCCACAAAGGCAAGGGCAGTTCCAAGAAAAATGAAAAATGAAGTCCTAAATGTTTCAAATGTTGAATGGCATGCTTCTGTTTTTGCTAAGTAATTGTTTCAGTCTAACCATTTGGATTACTTCAATTTAATCAATGATTTGAAATATAAGAACTCAAATTCCCTTCCTCACTTGAAAGACGATAACCCCCAAGGACCAAGGGCACAAAAATATTTCTACTAAAATTTTGAAAATAAAGTGAAGTAAATAGGGCTTGTTTGTTAAATCTCAGTCTTAGTCTATGCATAAATCAATCATTCATGCCAAATTAATTTAGTCAAGCTCCACAGATTCAAGATCATGATTTAAAAAAAAAATTAAAAAAAAAAAAAAAAAAAAAAAAAAAAAACCATTATAGACATAACGATGTTTATATCAAACATTATATTTTTTTTTTTTTTTTTTTTTGGTGTGTGTGTGAGTGTGTGTGTGGGGATAAGTATATCAAACATTATAGAATGGAGAGACAGTGATGATAGATATTACATCATGGCAATGTAATATTCCAATAAACTCTGAGTGATGGGATTACATTAACTAAGTCAACAAGATCAAACAGGTCAGCAAACAAGATAGAGTCAATACTCTAACGTCCATTTGGACATAGTCAATGCTAAACATGAAAAATATTATAATATAAATATAAAATAAAGGAAATCGAAAGTTAATTTACAACTTTATACAGATTGTGTTTGGTTCACTGGAATGAAGTGGAATAGAATGATAATTTCATTAGAATGTCCATTGTCACGTTTGGTTCACTAAAAAAATCCTAAAAAAAATGCATTGTAAATGTAATCGTCCTTGGGATCGGTCATTCCATAAGGAGGCTAAGGAATGACCATTCGAAACACTATGTGAAGGTCTTAATTTAACAACAACAATAACAATACTAATATTAATAATAAAAAATTAAACCAGGGAGCATCATATAAGTTGATGAAAAGTAAAACAGATAACTGGAAAATAATAATTCAACAAGTGCAGAGGAAACAAAAAGCAAAGGCACTCTAAGGTACTAAACCTGGCGTAAAAATCGTAAGCTCCGATAATCAGGTACAAGACCACTGATTTGAGAAGTAGAAACAAAAGCATATCCTTGAGTTGGTCTCAAATGTGAGTTTCTCGTGTCAATCTTAAATGTGTATTTTAGAGAAGAGAGTAAACCATGTCCAAGCTGCCTCCTTATTGACCTAGATGCCATTTGTGACGGATCTGTTAAGGTACGCCAAGAAAGGTTGTATGCCAAATCATGATTCCTGGATGATAATAGGCCAAGAGAGAGGCCCAATGCTCGCTCTTTGTAAGAAGAAAACTTTAGCCAATCTTGGGAAAGCAGAGTTACTCGAGCCAGCATGGGAGTTGCCAATCTCTTGAATCTAGGCAAGGACACACCAGCACTAACCTCTGACGTTTGGTCCCAGCCATAAGCCAAAGAACCATCCCAAAGGTCTCCAAATCCAAACAAGTTCTTCAGCTTGAGTGATCCTTCAAGTGACCAAGATCTAGCCTATGAAAGCATTTTACTACATCAAAAAACATATACACATTGCAAATGCAAATCATGTAGCATATTCAGAGCCACCTAGCAATTTCAGTATGGCCTTTTGAAGAAAAACATATGCAAAGAATCAAGGATAACAAAAATTGATCAGAGGTAATATGCTGCTTTATTTAGAATTGCCAGGGTAAGATAGAGCATAAATGTCTATACTTTTTGGCTGGATGTGAAGAAGTACTAGAATGTGTTCTTCAGCATAATCAAGTATCTAGGCAATTGTAGGTGGTTTGGCTTCCATAGACAAGGCCCTTTTCCAAATAGCCAAAAGGCAATAAAACATCTTTATGACCTCCAAGATGAGTAATAGTTTTACATTAAAAAATTATGCATATGCATTATGACCCAAAATCTTATGCCCACAGTAGTTATAGCATATTAGAGGGGATAAAAAGGCAGCATCACAACCAATATCATGTATCTTTACTCAATAGAAAGTAAAGTAAATGCCAAAAACACGTAGGTGACTGCCACTGTTTTGCCTTAAAATAGTAGTGATCAGGTTTCAAACAAGAGTGAGTCCATGAAACTTATCACATTTGACAACTTTCGCTTTAATGTGATCAAGTTTAATGTTCTAAAAAGCTCTAGGCGCATCGAGGTGCTAAGGTCTCCTCGAGCCTAAGAGCAAGATGCAAGGTGAGGTGCGCGCCTCACCAAAGCAAGGTGCAAGTTGTAGAAGATAAGTAATATTTTAATATACACAAAATTTTCAACATAAACAAATATTTTTAGAATTTCAATAATCAAAAGACACTTAAGGAGCAGCGCAAGAGGAAGAACATATTCTTCGTTGTGGCTAAAGAGCTTCTTAGAGCTTTTATTTGTTGTTGTCAAAATTGGGGCTAATATATTAGGGGGAGCTGTAATCCCGTGTGGTTTCAAGTACAAAAAGACATATCATATTAGTAAAATCAATGATTGGTGTTATTTCTTATTTTTTTAAAACCACAGAATAAAAAACTTAAATAGGATGTACATTACCAAACATAAGTTGTCGTCTTGTGCCTCACAACAAAATGATCGCCTCAGCGCCTCACCTGAGCCTTATGCATTGCACATCGCCTCAGCGCCTCGCCTAAGCCTTACGCATTGCACGTCGCCAAACAGGATAGGCAACATCAACTACAACATGTGAGTGCTACATCATCACAAATACTAGGCTAGTTCTCACTCTAAGCATCTTTCTACTCGCCAGGCTAGTTCTCACCCTTTTTCACACTCAAATGTTTCGTGCATCTATGCTTATATTAACACAATTTGTTGACTCCTTATAAATGAAGAAATCTTGTTAAGAGTTGTTCAAAAACATGTTGGACTCATGTCCTCCCAAGGTGAGAACAACAACAATCACAAGAGATAATGGTATGACTTGCCTTAAGACCCAGACATCTTCAGTAGTTCATCAAATAACACAAACCCTTGCAAAAGGTGGCCAATACATCCACTACAAGTGGCCAAGAAAAAATTTCTAACCTAGTACAAGGACCATCTCAAGGTTCTAAACTTGCCTACAACCTGAACGACACGCTCTAGCCTCAACCATTGTCCAACAAATCCGGTCACTCCAAGCAGAGAGACTAAGATCATATCAACAAAATGCGATCGAGAAAGAATAAAGTGCCAATTAGCATGTAAGCCCTAAACTTGCTAGGCATTGAGAAGTAAGCCCTAGCTCCACTAGGTATTGTATACATAAGCCCAAGCTTGCTAGGCATTTGGCAAGTAAGCCATAACTCCACTAAGCATTGTACACGTGAGCCCTAGCTTGCTAGGCATTCGGCAAGTAAACCTTAGCTCCACTAGGCATTGTACATGTAAACCCTAGCTTGCTAAGCATTGTACATGTAAGCCCTAGCTTAGTCTCTCTGGGAATAAGACCTATTTAGACTACACAATCATTAATAAGGATATTGTTCATCAAGTATTAAGGATATTCTTCATCAACAATCCAAGGTTCGCAAGGCATTTTAGCTAAAGTCCTAGCTTGTCTAGGCACAATTCTTAACACTCGGACATTGCATGAAGACAATCAACTGGAGTGATCTCAAAGACTGGGGGCACATGGTAGCAGTACTTAGTACCCTTATGTCATTCCAACCAAGCATATGGTCATTTATCAAAACAACAACAAGAAGCTTCCATTCCTTCTCACTAAGACTCGAAGAGAATGAAAGCTTGGGGGCAAATAAAGAGTGTCAAAAAAATACCGAAGAGTCCCTAGTGGGAATATTCCACAGCATATTGATTAGGACTTCTAGAAAGACTTGCTCATTAAGGAAAACCCAAATATACACCTACACCCCCAAGAAGAAGGTATGCTGAAATTCTGCACCAAACCACTCTCATTATTCTCCTCCTCTCTCTGAAATATCCTTTCTAACTTAACATCAAAGTGCCTTCCAAGTTATGAAGCACGAACACGGACACGCGACACGACACGGACACGCAAAAACGCAAATTTTCAAAAAATAGGGGACACGACACGCTGGGACACGTTTAATATATATAATTAATTTTATTTATTATATGTCTAAAATAAAAAAATATTAATTTTTATACAATTATAATAATAATAAAATTAATAAACATATTTTTAAAAAAAATTAATAAACAAAGTGTTTTTAAATAAAAATAATTTATTTTGTGAATTTTAGGTTTAATAAAAATAAAGAAAAAAGAAAAAAGAAAAAAGAAAAAAAAAGAGTGAAGGAAATAAAAGAGGAGAGAGAGAGAGAGAAACGGGTGAAATAAAAAAAAGAGGGCAAAGTGAATCAGCAAAAGGGGGAAGTGAAATGAGAGAGAGAGAGATCAGGAGAAGTCGAAGAACAGGGAGGAGAAGAAGAAGGAGAAGCAGATGGAGACAGAAGAGGACGAGGCGAAGAAGAAGAGAGCAGACAAATACCTCAGCTTCTTCATTGATCTGAACAGGTTAGGCTCCTCTCTTCTCCTCCCTCTATCTCTTTCTCTGTCTGTCTTCTCTCATCTCCTCCCTCGATCTCTGTCTTCTCTCCTTCTTTGATCTCCCTCGATCTCTGTCTTCTCTCCTTCCTTGATCTCTTTCTCTGTCTCCTCTTCTCCCTCGATCTCTTTCTCTCTTTCTCTCTTTCAGTTAGGGCTTCGATCCACCTCAGGCGTGTCCGGAAAGTGTCACAGCGTGTCCATGGCGTCTCCGACTGCAAAAATTCAAAAAAAAAAGACACGTTAGAGAGAGTGTCGGACACGTGTCCACCGCGTGTCCGTGTCCGACACTCGTACGCAGGCCTTGGGGACGTGTCGGTGCTTTATAGCTTCCAAGCGACAACCCCCAGTCAAATGGTACTAATGGTGTCCTATTTTATAGATTCGTGGAGCACCGTCCATTTCTTTGTTGAACTCATCATCATCAAGTGTGGGTCAAATTTGTACCCATACACCATTTACTACTTAAGCGAGAAATGAAAACCACCATTGAGGCTAATTTCATTTTGGAAATGAGCAAGTATTGAGTCTTAAATTTAGTTCATTATAGCTTGTTTCATGTTTAAATGACATTATAAGCAATAAGAATCTCCACTAGATTGTGTTTCGTGGATTATTCTATTTGCCCAAAGTACGCATGTCCAACGGATATGACAAGGATAATTTAGATATTTGGATTCTATAACTGTTTATGATGTTTGAAAAAAAAAAAAAAACTCACATTGATAGTAAAAAAAACATTTCTAGCCTCTCACCTATTAAAATTTCATATCTTTTCTAAATCCTAATTAATTTCAAATATATTTTTATATAATTCACATCATCTTATCTGAGAATATTATACGATATGCAACAATATTCACGTTCATGATGCGTCCCCACATCCATATCAAAATTTGGATGCACATCAGATTTAGGTTTATGAAGCTCTGACGCATGAATAAACACCAGCAACCGACAACCGATACTCATATAACATAGCTGCTAGATGCTCTAATTCAGTTTTACAATGATACCCTACATTTTAAAAGCCCTACTTTATATACTATCAGGTCCATGGCATCTAATCCTCTATGTAAAAACTTCAAACAAGCTTAGAAGTAGAACTCCCACATCAAAATCCTATAATCAACTCTCAAATGTCCACTAGGATTATTCATTCACTCAATAGCAATACATCAATCGTCAAATAGCCAATCCCAAATCAAACACAAACGATTTACCACGGATAAAATATGCAAGTTGACATGAGAGTGAGAGTGAGAGTACCTCAGGCTTTGAGAAAATTCCAATATCGCCAGTGAGAGGGTTTTTAGTCTCGACAACTTCAACAACGACATTGGTAGTCCCAGGCAACTCGGGGGGGCCCGAATCGAGCGTAATGTTGACGGAATCGAAGATTTCAAGGCGGTGCAGCCGAGCATTAGCGATGCTCGCGGCCTGAAGAAGCTCTTGGACTGTGGTGGTGTTCTTGAGGCCTTCGAGTTCGGCTTCGATGAGGGAGTCCTTGGTCTTCGTGTTTCCCTTGATCAATACGTCGTGGACTCGAAGGGGTACTCTCTCTGTCGATATTCGTCGGAACAGGTTCTCCATTTTCGCTCTCTCCAAGGGCTTTCTCGATTTTTGGGCCACTGGTCCTTCTTCTTCTTCTTCTTCTTCTTCCTCCTCTTCTTCTTCTTCTTCTTCTTCTTCCTCGTCTTTGTCGTCCTCGTCATTCGAGGGTTCTTCTTCCACAGTTGGTGGATGCTCCATTTGATGTTCTTCAGTTGAGACTGCCATGGATATCAATATAATTATATGTATATATTATATATATAGTAGAGAGCGAGAGAGAGAGAGAGAGAGGCGTAGGCTGAAGCGGGCGGAAGTGAAGGGCGAAGAAGGAGGGAGCTCTCTCGGAGAGAGCGCTGGTGGTGATGTGATCAAGTACGGACAGACACCGTATACGAGCCACGTTGATTTGATTAGCAAAAATGTTTGGGAATCCGATTCTCGGCGGCCCTACCCGGCAGCCTCAAAACGACGGTCATTTGGGTTTTTTTTTTTTTTTTTCTTCTTTCTCTTCTTCTCCATTTTTTCCGACGAGCTGCCATAACCAGAGGGAGGGGAGGGAGAGGCTGCGCGTCGCAGCCCGTCGCCTCGCCGCCAGCCTCGCAGCCGTCTCCGCCTCCGCCTCGGCGCCTCGCCGCCGGCGCGTCGCAGCCCGTCGCCTCGTCGCAGCAGCTACACCGCCGTCGCCTCCGCCTCCTCCTTCTCCCCCATTGGTTATGGCCCCCTCCAGTCCGGCCCTTCCCTTCCTCCTCCTCCTCTCCTCCTCCCTCCCTCCTCCCTCCCTCCCTCTTCCTCTCCTTCCTCCCTCTCTTCCTCGCTTTTTTTTTTTTTTTGAAAATTTGCCCCCAAAACGACGTCGTTTTGGGGCTGCCGGAAACGGCCGCCGGTAGGGCGGCCGAGAATCACTCAATGTTTTTTTTTTTTTATTGGGCCAATTAATTAATTTTTATTTTTAACACTCGCGATGCCCTTTAGATGTATATCATTAATGGATGCAACAATGATTCATCCCACTAAAAACATCACCACTAATAGCATTAATGCATTAAAAAAGTAAAAAAAAAAAAAAAAAACACAACTCCAAGACTAAAACATCACATCATTAATGGCGGGACCCACTGCCACCTAATTAGTGGGAGCACTAATTAGTGCTCCCAAGCATTTTTCTTAATGGATGTACAGGGTCACTCATATATATGTGAATATGTGAGATTCACGCTATGGATGTATGGGAGCCACTTATATATATATATATATACACGCGAGATTCACGCTATTAATAGTTATGATCTAAAGGGAATTATAGGGATTTAAAAAAAAAAAATCTTAAACATTATTGCTTGATTAGAGAAATAAAAGTACGATGAGTTCGAATAAGCCAATTATTTATTAAACACTAATCCTTACACCCCTACTTATGTCTTAAATTATTAGCCCGAATTCCCTTTTCAAAATAGCCAAACAAATATGGAATGAATTTGGCTTTACGTTCAAAAAACATTTGGACTTGTTAGATTCATGTTGTGATCGATCCAAGTGATCTGAAATGATAGGGGGATTTAGACTGAATAATTAGGCCGAGCTAGTTTGAGCTTGGGCCAGATTTGTGGATTGCATGTCCAAGATAGAACGGCTCAGAGTGGGCTAGGCCGAGGTTTTAGCTTGGTCGAATTAGGGGTTATGTACTTGATCGAGCTTTCCTTTTGAACGGGACTTGTCCTTGTTGAATTAGGCTCAGCCGATCATGGTAGCAACCGAGCTGAAGAGTTCGGTCAAACATTGTCATGGGCGCTTGATAGGACTGAGCAAATAGCGCGGTTTCAAAGGTGGATCGTAGCATCGCGCTAAGGATAGCTCAGCAGAGGTTGCCATGTGGCCCAATCAAAGGATAAGGAGAAGATCCTACCATCTGTACGCGTCAATATTGTTAAGCAATTTTGTTGATGTTGTTTGGCTGTATTGTCGCATACACGTATAGGACGAAGAGAGGATAGTACATCTACGTATCTAGAAAGGATGAGTAGAGAGGTGCGCGCAAAAACTATATAAACTGTGTAATGCCTCAATGCAACAAGTCTGAATTCTTGCTATCAGAGCTCTCTTTTAGCTCTATTTTCTTCTTCAAGGGTGTTAATTTGACCGTCAGATGGGTTTTCCAGCAACACATCCGCTGGATAGCTTACCGTCGTTTTGTTCTCAGGTTGGGCAACGTCACTCGGAGTAATGCAGAGCTTAGACCTAAAGAGTATGGAGAGCGACGAATATTTCCTTCCCGTACAATTGGCGCCATCTGTGGGAATTCGACAAACAAAACCTTGTTCTCAAAGCTTTTAGAATCATTTTTCATGGCGAACAACAATGACGTTCCGAAGTCCGTTATTGACGGCATTACTCCAGAGCCAGTTCGATGTCATGATGACTTGCCCGCCATTCTGATGATAGCCAATCTGGAGACCTCTGTGTGAATGCCTCCTTGAGGCACACGAGACAAACGTGCAAGGAGTTCTGGACACTCATTGAGCCTAGAAAGACGTTGCCGACTGCAACAATCACGCACTCAGCACCTGGAAAGCAAGCTGAGAGACCATGGTGCCATCATTAAGAAGATGTCGACGGAGATAGAGGCCATGAAACACTAGTTGAAGGGAAAGGGCATTGCTGGAGTGGGAAACCACAGTGAGTGCGCCCAATCCCACTATTCTGGCAGTTGGAACAGACAGTAAACTCATTCACTCTCCATTACAAGGAGCTTCAGAGCTGATGACTCCGTTGCACCGGTAGGGGTATCTCGTACTCAGGACAGCAGCTATTACCCTTCACGTACGTTAACGACGTCAAGATACTTATACTCCGATCAATCGGGAGATCTGAGAGATGTGTTGGAGGAATGAGTGTGCCGATAGGAGGTACAGAGGGTGCTATAGACACCCCATTTTTGACCGACCTTAAGACTTAGACGTCACCAACTGAGCACTCGGTGATTGTGCATGTTGTGCTCGTTTCGAGGTTTCGGAGTTCTTGGCTGAGAGCCTTGCCTCCGGACCTCGGAACTTTTCGTGCTTTGACTCAGTCCGCGGACCAAGTTTTGTTTTCTCTTCCCGAAAGGAGGGAGAGGTCTTATAGACCATCTCTCAGTGGTCGTAGACTACTTTTCGTGGTTGTAGGCCACTGTTCCCGTTTGGAGACTAGTTTCTGATTTTCGGAGCCGTCGGCCGTGTGCCACGGTTCAGGACTGCTTAACATTCTCCGTTTGGCACGGTTTTTGGAACACACCTTGTTTCCTCTGTCTAGAGGGACACTGTGGTCCGGGAGACCACTTTTGTGGTCATACGCCATTTTTTGTGCTTAACAGCCAGTTTTCGAGGCCCCCAGCCACGCGCTTTGCCTCCCGAACTCTTGTTTTGCATCCGTGTTGGTTCATTTTTGGCATGAACCTTGTTTTCCTTGTTTGGGAGGTGGTACAAGGGTGGAAGACCAGCTTTCTCCTTGGAAACCACTTTTCTCCTTCCAGTCGGTTTTCTGGTCGGGAAACTGGTTTTCTTGGTCTTTGGGCCACATTTTCTGGTTTTCCACTCCACCATTGGCTTGCTTTCAGTGTGGAGACCACCAATACCCTTGGCCAACCATTTTTTATCTGGGAGACCACTTGCCCTGGTCGACCGACCAGGGAAAGTGGTCGGCCGACCACCTTTTCTGGTCGGCTGATTTCCTTCTGTTTTGTCAGACTGTGTGGATGCCAGCTGTGTCAGCTAGAAGGCACAGACTGTATCCTCCATACACATGTATGGAGGATTTGCATCTAAGCTTTTAGCTTCTTGAGGAAGCTTTAGCTTCAAACCTCTATAAGAGAGGCCCTCCCTTTCCTTTGCACAGGTTCTGAAATTTGCTAAGGCAAAAATATATATCTCTCTCTATATCTCTACATTTTCGGTTCAAAAGTGTGTTGTTCTTGACCTATTGCACCACACCTCATAGCCATACACCTCCACCATTGATCTGAGGTTCTTGGAGGACATTTTTGGAGGTTGAAGAGTTGGTTTTTGGTCCAAGAACTTGCTGGTTTTGCTGTGCTTCAAGGGTAACCTCATTTCTCTCTTTTTAAGCTCTATCTTGATCATTCTCTTAGCCATAGTTACATGCATATTTAGGCTTTGTTGTCAACTGAAAAAAGCTTCATATTCAAGTGTTTTTCATGTTTGTTTAAGGCTCTTTTGGTGTTGAGGGTCATCTACCCTCTTGCATGCTTTGCCATGCCATGAGACCTTTGTGTTGATCTTTGCTTGGCCTTTTAGCCACTGAAATCCAGCGGATTTTCAATGGTTGGTATGTGGTTTTGAGGGCCTAAATCAGAGAGGGGAGACCCTCTCTCTTTTGGCCTTGTTTGTTTGCATTTTTGGCCTTTCAAAGGAGCACATACTTTCATACTTCCAAGGCTTGGTTCAGGCCCTTTTTGGTGACTTTCGGGACTTTCCTAGACTCTGTCTATGGCTGGTTTGGTCACCTTGGGTTTGCCTCTTGCATGTGTAGAATAATCCCTTTCATGGCTTATCCAAGTAGCACCTCATTCTTGCATCTATTAGTCATGTCTCAGTGGATTTTTGGCCATCATTTGGCATGCCATGATTCTGTTTTTGGCTGGTTTGGTAGCCTCTCATATGCTTCATATGCTTGTAGTGTAAATCATGTTTACTAGCTTGAAATGCATGATGTTTTGGCCCTCTATTCTAGCATATTTTGGCCTCGATCCAAACTAATTTTGTTCATATTTTGGGCTGCCTTAGCTCTGTTTTGAGGTCTCTTGGTTGAATGATGCTTGCCATGCATGCTTGTAGTGTAATAGCCTTGCCTAGCTTGAAGTTCTAAGGTCCCTTGCATGCTTAACTTGAGGTATTTGCATGTTTTGGCATTATGAGGAATGTTATTTCAGAGCTTATTTCTTGGCCATATTCTCATGTTTGTCACTCTTTCAATGTGCTTGAGAGTTGCATCATTATACCCCATTTGTGAGCCATTGCATGAGCTCATTTTTGTGCCTTTCAAGCCATCATTCCAACTCGTTTTTCTACTATTTTGGGCCTGCATAGGGTCTGTTTGGAGTTGGTTTGGTCATTTGAGCATTGCCTTGCATGCCCATAGTGTAATACACTTCACTAGTTTCGGTGCTTGAGCCATTTAACATGCATTGTGTGAATTATTTACATAATTTGGAGTCATTTTGTATGCCATTTCAGAGTTGGAACATGTGTCGTTGCACTCCATATTTCATCATTTTCAATGCGTTTGGAAAGTTGTGTTTTATGCCTTAGGCTTGAGGCCATTGCATTGGGCATGTTTGCATGAGTTT